CGAAATTCGACGAGGTTCATTCACTGTTTTTGTTTAGCTCTCATGTTGTCATTTTTATGTTGAGTCATAGCTTAAAAATGTCACTTTTAAGTAAAAAAGTGAACTTTAAGTTTCATAAATACTTTCATTCATGAACCATAGAAATAAATTAATTATTTTGATAGCAAGGTAAAATATAATATGGAAAAAAGTAACTTTATTTTATTTGATAGTAAGAAATAAGCAAGTAAACGAGGCAGACTAAAAAGTTCAACTTTTTTTAAAGCTTACATGCTTGAAGCGAGTGTTTTTAATGATCTTCAAGAACAATGTTTTACCCTCGAATAATGCTACCTAGAACCACTAGAAAAAAAAAATGATGATTATTTATTTAAATTTAGATTTTTGCTAATCACATGCATATTAGTTATCTTATTGAGGATTATCCCACTTTGAAAGAAGTATTTTGACAGGTTCAGTGACACAAGTAAATGTGGCAACAGATGATTGAATGAGAAAGTTAACCGTGTTTTAAACAATTCAATGACAGAATGCAAATAAATACCTTGAGAACACTTATCTTTTTCTTTTTTTTTTTTTTAAATACAGTATTGAAATATACTGAGGTGTTTACATGTCGATCGATGCATTTAGCATTGCTCGGTTTAGAATTGTGCTAGGATGAAAATAAAAGTATCATTTTTTACATTCAAAGAGTGATATGCCTCTACAAATTGATTTGATTATTGTTAAAGTTTGTCTTATGAGGCTTGTTTTATGGTAATTACAGCAAATTGAAGAGAAGTGTGAATGGAAGAGGCGATGGCAATCTCAACTATCAGGGCTAGAGAGAAGAAGTATGTACAAGGAATCCACTAATAATGTCATGGGCGGACAATTGCAGAGACAAAGGATTGAATCATCTTAATCATATATTTAACAAGTACGACTATAAAGTACAAAGTACAAACTAATATTGTATATCAGACATGCACATTCGGTTATGAATGTACATAGCTTATACATATTTTTCTGGTTTTCGAGAGGGTACATTTATTTCAAATTTCATTATGACATAACTATGTATAATGGTATGCACGTTCTGCTGCAATGTAGTTGACACTTCTAATATTTATAGTTTTCCATCGCATGCACCAGCACAAAATAATAATTTTGCCTCATCATTGAACTTGCTCAAGTCTAAGAATCCCATCCAAAACTCCAGGTAAAATTTGAAACCTCTAGACAAATTTTGACCAACAAATTGATTCGAAATTATATATATGTTCGTCTAAACTTCCAGTGTACAGTATCGAGACAAGGAATAAAAATTCAGGTATCCTTTCCTCATATAATAATTATTCACAATTAATTTTTATTCTAAACCTAACTTCAAATTGAACTAATGGGGTTATCAATTGATGATTTAACAATTGAATTGAAAACTAAAATGTATACTAACTCTATCTAATACAATAAATGCTTGAAAACTTTATGGAAGATTTACAAGATTAAGTAGTTGAAATTTTGATTTCACCTCGATCATTTAACATTTACTTAATTCAATATCCTAGAGCCCCTTTTTAAGCTTGTTAACAATCGAATTACCCAATTCAACTAGTGATCGCTCTCAAGTAAAACTAGACATATTTATATACACAAATTTACAGTATCGCTACGTAAATTCGATACTTATAATCACATTCAATTGCAAAAATTTGATCAAGATTGTATAATGGTGCGTTTAATTGCCAATATTTTTCATGGAAAATATTTTTTTTTTAACCCAAATTCCTACTTTTGTATTGTTTGATTGACATATTTCTTCATAAAAAAATATTTTCTTACTTTCGGTCACATGACCATATTTTTCTCAAAATTAAGGAAAATATTTGTTTTAGAGGGAGTATGATTTTATTTTCTAAAGAATTCGCTCTCTCTTTCTCTCTCTTATCTATTCCATCTCTTTCATTTACCACCAATAAAAAATAGACAAGTATAATATTTTTTAGGTTAAAAACTAAATCAATCAAACACATTTAATTAATAATTTTCATATAAATAAGTTCAAGGCAATTGAATTGTTTAGAAGTTATTTTCTTTCCATGCAAATTTTACGCTCGCAATCAAACGCGCCCCAAGAATATTTATCAATCTCTTATCAAAATCAATGTCACTTATTGCATGAGCTCGACAAATATATCACATCTTGGAATCAATATATCATTCTTAAGTTCATTAATTGATTATCAAGCAATTGAATTAAATTAAGCACACAATAAATAATTAATATACATGAAATTTGCATCAAATCTTTGAATTAAATTAATACTAATCAACTAAGCTACTCTCTTTGTCCTAACAAATAAATGATTAGAGAAAAGAGATGAAAGCAGTTGTTGATTTTTGTCATACGAAATTCCAATAATGGATCTTCAGCCTCTTCATTGATTATTGCAAATTTCTTGACGCAAAATATGTTTTTCTGCCTATTCTTACCCAAATCTATTAATGAATATATGTTCTTGGCTTTTTTGCCTAAAAATGCTTCTTCCTTTGAGAAGAATAAATAAATCTATTTACAGTCTCCTAATTAGGTAAAAATCAAGAAACAAAAATATCCTGCGTCAGAATTTCAGGTAAACAAATCTGTGTCCCCCGACCAATGCAATCGCACCATGT